CTAAATGAAAACTCAAAACTTTACGAAACTTGGTGAAAACATGTGTAAGAGGACGCGTAATAAGCACGCAAAATTTCATGGAGATCGGACCATAGGTGGTGCTATAACAGTTAAAAAGGCCTCAAAAACACAATATTTCTATAGAAAATGACCTCAAGTTGAAGAACATGTTCATATATTCACACAAACACTATATCTTCATATCATATGATAGATCTCTTCATACTGAACAACTTTGCCTCTAGGACTAATGCTGTCAATCAAATCGTTCATTAAATATTTGAGATTATATAAAAAAAAACTCAGTTTGTAAACTAGTCCTAGGTTTTAAACTCAAAACCAATAAAATCACTGCAGTACAGCTCTTTAGACTCTCTAGGTCAATAGTTATCAAAACATTTTGAAACTTTGCATTTGGACAGTTATAACAGGGCCATTTAATAATATGGCCTTGATATACCCCAAACCCTATAAATCTATAAAAAGAAAACCCTATAAAAGAAAGCTCTAAACTTCATGAAAAAGTGAGCACACGTGTCATATGATTGTAGACAAGCATGCAAAATGCAAAATGTATGGGGCTCAGACATTAGTTGCCTCTATAACAGTTAAAAAGTTGAAAAAGTACATTTAAATAGCAAAATCCATGGAATTATCATTTTAACTACTAAAAGCAGAAGACCATTAATTGGCTCATTCTGCTCACTATATATCTCTATTTACAGGTCTGCCATTTGTATTAATGTCTATAAATTATAAAGTCACTATGATAACATTCAACATCACATTTTGTCAAACTTTACCACTTCATTTACCTGGAGGAATCAATTTACCCAGAGGAATTTTGCAATTATGCCACATTATGATTACAGTGAGACCTGAAATTGCATTATAAAGAGAAGACTTGCAGTAAGCATTTTGTTACACAACATTTACTTTAAATCTCTATATCTACAACAAAATGTGTTTGCATGTGTAAGTATGCTTACTTTGTATTAAGTATTATACTGAAGCCCGTTCATTTCAGGT